GGAGGTGAGAGGATTGCCTGAGTTCAGGGGTTCGAGACCAGCCTGGGCAACTTGGTGAGACCTTGTCTCTACAATAAATCAAAAAATTAGCCGGGCATGATGATATGTACCTGTAGTTTCAGCTACTTGGAAAGCTGAGGCGGGAGGATTGCCAGAGCCCAGCAGGTGGAGGCTGCGGTGGCCGTGAGCATGCCACTGCGCTCCAGCCTGGGCGACTGAGTAAGACACCAACTCAAAAAAAAAAAAAGTTAATCTCTCTCCTTTTTTCATTTAACTCTATGTTTGTTTATTCATTTGTTTTTAAAGAGAAAGACTGCAGTTATATTGGGTACACAGCTATGCACAATGTGAGACATTTGCTCTCTTTTCTCTCTTTCTCATGCTTCTATCATAGTGATATCTTTCTTTTAAGCAATTTGGAAATGCATTAAAATACAAATCAAGGCCAAGTGTGTCCACGCCTGAGTCCCAGCACTGTGGGAGGCCAAGGTGGGAGAAGGCTGTGGAGGGAGGATTGCTTGAGCCCAGGAGTCTGACACTGACCGACCTGAGCAACATAGAGAGACTTTGTTTCTACAATTTTTTTCAAAAATAACAAGCCAGGTGTGGTAGTATATCTGTAGTCCCAGCTACTTGGGAGGCTGAGGAGGAAGGATCTCTTCAGGCCAGGAGTTCAAGGCTGCAGTAAGATATGATTATACCACTGCACTCCAGTCTGGGCGACAGGGACACCTCAATTCAAAATTAAAAAAAAAAAATAAAGAAATCATTGCAATAGTTTTCACCTTGATTCTCCCCCATGTCAGTGAAATTTCTGTCAATAAGTTCATCAGTGATCTCTAAGTTAATACATTGAATCCATACCTCCTAAACCTTAATCTTATTTGCTCTTTTAGGTTTTTTTTTTTTGTTTCCTATTTATCATTACCTTTTTCTCAACCATTCTCCCTTGGTCTTTGGGACATCACTTTCCCTCGGTTTTCCTCCTACCTTTTGGCCATTTGTACTCAATTTTTCACCAGCTTCTTTTACTCTGCATAAACCCTGGATTCCTGAACTTTTTTCTCACTCTTCAAGATATTCTAGTAATCTATTTATGCCTGTGGTTTCAATTTTCATACACATATTAGTAACCCCTAAATTTGTGTTTCCAGCTCAGACTCCTTCAAAACGCCAGATTTCTACAATTAACTGTCTAATAAATATTTAACCTTGGAGATCTCATAGGCATATCTATTTTATTTTATTTGTTATTTTTATTTTTCTTGTCAGGAAACTACAGTATTTATTCACATCCCGGTATATCAATTTTTAAATGTACAAATTCTAATCTGTGTATTTATTCTGAAACTTAATTCTCCATCCATATTCCTGCAATCTGTGATCAGTATCAATAGAAACTTGAGAATTGTTCTATACTTCTCATTATCTCATTACTTTCCATATTCCTTGGGTTACCAAGTTCATTAACTATTGCATCAGAAATACTGAAAAGTATCCCTTTATTTTTAATCTCTAGCTTGCTTTATTGTAGAGCTTTGTTCTTTATAATTTCTTGCCCGGTTTACTGCAATAACTTCCTAATAGCTCTTTAATCCACCAATCTGGCTCCTCATTGAGGGACTTTTGACATCCTTTCCCTACCAAGATATTCTGAACATTCTCCCTTCATCAGGTGGATATGATCATAGATTACCATACAACTAATTGTGTTTTCTGCTTAAAAATCCTCCATGGAAAAAAAGGTATGCTTCTACACTGCTGGTGGGAATGCAAACTAGTGCAACCTCTTTGGAAAACAGTGTGGTGATTTCTAAAAGAATTAGAAATTGACCTTCCCTATGATCCAGCAATCCCTCTACTGGGAATATACCCAGAGGAACTCAGATCATTATACAAAAAAGATACCAGCACACGCATGTTTATTGCAGCACTATTCACAATAACAAAAACATGGAACTAACCATGCTGCCCATCAAAACTGGACAGGATAAAAAAAATACCTATACACAATGGAATATTATGCAGTCATAAAGAAGGACAAACGTATGGACTTCACAGAAACTTAGATGGATTTAGAGTCTGTCATACTCAGTGATCTGTCACAGAAACAAAGAACAGAGTACCATATGCTCTTAATCATAAGTGAACCTTGAACAATTATCATAATACTATAAGAAAGGCATTGGCAGCAGTGGGAAACTGCCAGGGGAAGGGAGGTGGGATTGGCAGTTGAGGAAAACTGTCAGGGGCGAGGGGGACACCTCATCAACAAGGGTACCTGCATAATGACACTTGTATACCTAACCCTGAATTGTACCCTACATCTTTAAAATAAAAAATTTAAAAGTTAAAAAAAAAAATCCTCCAAGGAAATCCACTAACGTCTTTGGAGAAAAATAAACTTCTCTTTTATCAAGCAGAAAAAAATTATTCATTAGCTGTGTGACCTTGGGGGGAAAGACTTGTTTTTTCTGAGCTTATTTATAAAATAAGGCAATACTTCATCCTTGAAGAGTGGCATGAGGTGGTGTTTAAATCCCTATGACAATGTCTAGGGTGTTATAGAGACTAAATTATTGATTTACACTATTTCTACTTATTTTTGACAAGTTACATGTAGTGGTGGAGGAAGCATTGTATTTGGAGTCGGATAATTATGGTAACAACCACAAAATACTAGTAAATACTTCCACAACACTCCCTGTGTGCTAGGCCTTTTTCCAAATGCTTTACATATACTAACTCATTTTATCTTCTCAACAACCCAAGGTAGGTACTAGCCATTAACAGATGAGAAAACTGAGGCACTGAAGATTATGTAAATGAATCCCCACAGAGCTAGAAATGGAAGAATCAGGACTTAGGTCCCAGGAATTTAGCCCCGAATCCATGTACTTTATCGAAATTTCAATCTTTTGTCAGTAACTGCAGACTATGGGTAAGTCATTTTCAGCTATAAAAATCTCACTTTTCTGCTCCATAAAAGTAAAACATGAATATCGACCTCATGAATCCAAAGGAGTTAATACTGTGGTTGCATTATGCTCAGCATCTAGCTCAGGAAATGGTAATGATTACCATTGCATGAGAGCCTTTGTATCTGCCTTTGCAAACCTCTCTAATTTCCCATCCTTCTTTTCCATCAACCCTGCACTTTAGCCAGATTGAATCATTTGTTCATTTCTTTTACATTTCCACATTTCCATCTACTTCCATCTTCTCTGCTAACACATTTTTTTCCTAAACATTCAGTGGCAGCGTTTCCTCTTCCCCAGAACATTTCTGTTCCTTTAAGGCTGGGTTAAATACCAGTGCTTCTGTCCTCATGCACATATCGTTATTATGGTATTTCTCATGAAGTATTATAATTATGTGTTTTGTGTATGACTGACACACTACATTGCTTCATAAAGGCTGGGATAATGTCCTATATTGCTTTGTTCAGCACACTGGTGATCAGCATACATTTGTTGAGTGAATCAATTATCAATATAGCAGGGTTGATAGCTGTCTACCAATATAATTCTAATTTAATGTGATAAATGATTTTAAAATGTTTTGCAAACACAAAGTATATAGCAATTAATTCTACTTCCTTTGCTTAAAATTAGGAAATGCTTCACAGGAGAGTTGAATAATGCCTGAAAGAACAAGATTTCGCCAGGTAGAGAAGAAAAGGAATGTCAGGCAAGAGGATTGTCAATGGGAAGATGGTGAAAAAGCATATTCCACATGTGGGAATGGAATCATCTGCATCTTATCCATGTTGGTGACAGAGTGACAGAGAGGTTAGAGTAATTGGAGATGAGACTAAAAATGCAGACTGGGACCACACTGTGACAAAATTTGAATGCCATAATTTTTGTTGCTCTTGTCGTTACAGAGCCTTGAAATGTATTGATTAGGAAAGCTACAGAAAACAAGCCGAGGTTTTATAATGAGATAACTTGCAGCAATTTGGAGAATTGATCATAAAGTAGACAGATGCTGAAGGCAGGAAAACTGAACAGCAACTTACTGGCCAAGGAAGAGAAGCAAGGAGGACAGAGAGGAGACAAACAATTTCTTAGATATTGTGACAATTTGGTAAACTGTATGGTTGGAAAGAGAACACTGAGCATTTTATAAAAGTTTAAAATGATTGCTTAAAGTTAACATGTGAAGAATTTAGTCAATAATAAATGTAAATACTTTCATTTTCTCATCAAGTATAGGCTGTAAACATATTCTCTTAAAAGTTTTAGGTATCTCACATATTAATCATGATCACAATTTTACCTCCCTTTAAATATATTGTATACAACTTTTAAAATAATCCATGAGTGAATCTACATTATTTAACAGGGTAAACTTCTTTTAAATCATTTTGCATGCTTGGACAATAAACATTGTTTTACACTAATTAACACATATGAAAATCTTAAAGCATATTAAAATTATTTGTTGTAGATAGCTATAATTCTTTTTGCTCCCCAACATTTCACAAACATGAAGACAGAACTTAGAAAAATTACTTGTTGCACTGAAAATATCCCATTGGAGGGCTTAAAAGGCAAAGGAGGCTGGGTGTGGTGGCTCAGCCTGTAATCCCAGCACCTTGGGAGGCCAAGGCGAGAGGATTGCCTGAGCCTGGGAGTTTGAGACCAGCCTGGACAACTTGGTGAGATCTTGTCTCTACATAAATCACAAAAATTAGCCAGGCGTGGTGTCATGCGTCTGTTGTTCCAGCTACCTGGAAGGCTGAGGCAGAAGGATTGCCTGAGCACAGCAGGTTGAGGCTACGGTGACCATGAGCATGCCATTGCACTTCAGCCTGAGCAACAAGAGTGAGACTCCAACTCAAAAAAAAAAAAAAAAAGAAAGAAAGAAAAGTCAAAAGAATACTTGAGACAAACCATTGCTTAATTTTAATGTCAATTCAAAGAAAAATTCAACATGTTGATTTTGCCCTTAAAAATTTAATTAAGAAAAAAAGTGAATCAGACTATAATTTTGTTTACTTTTTTTT